TGCCAGCAGCGCGTCTGGAAGTTCCTGGAGAAGCCCGAGTCCTCGCGCCCCGCGCGCGCCGTGGCCGTGCTGTCCTTCCTGCTCATCCTCCTCTCGTCCATGGTCATGTGCATGGGCACCATCCCCGAGCTGCAGGTGCTGGACACCGAGGGCAGCCGCGTGGAGCACCCGACGCTGGAGAGCGTGGAGACGGCGTGCATCGGCTGGTTCACGCTGGAGTACCTGCTGCGCCTGTTCGCCTCGCCCAACAAGCTGCACTTCGTCCTGTCCTTCATGAACATCGTGGACGTGCTGGCCATCCTGCCCTTCTACGTGAGCCTGACGCTCACGCACCTGGGCGCGCGCATGATGGAGCTGACCAAGGTGCAGCAGGCCGTGCAGGCTCTGCGCATCATGCGCGTGGCCCGCATCTTCAAGCTGGCGCGCCACTCCACCGGCCTGCAGACGCTCACCTACGCGCTCAAACGCAGCTTCAAGGAGCTGGGGCTGCTGCTCATGTACCTGGCCGTGGGCATCTTCGTCTTCTCGGCCCTGGGCTACACCATGGAGCAGAGCCACCCGGAGACGCTGTTCAAGAGCATCCCGCAGTCCTTCTGGTGGGCCATCATCACCATGACGACCGTGGGCTACGGCGACATCTACCCCAAGACCACGCTGGGCAAGCTGAACGCGGCCATCAGCTTCCTGTGCGGGGTCATCGCCATCGCCCTCCCCATCCACCCCATCATCAACAACTTCGTCCGGTACTACAACAAGCAGCGCGTCCTGGAGACGGCGGCCAAGCACGAGCTGGAGCTCATGGAGCTCAACTCCGGTGGCGCTGGCGGGGGCGAGGGCAAGGCCGTGGGCTCCCTTGGCGACCTGGACAACCTCCCACCACTGGAGCCCGCGGCCAGCAAGGAGGGGACCTGGGGCAGCCGGCTCAAGATCTCCCACAGCGACACCGTCATCCCCCTCCTGACCCAGGAGAAGCACCACAGGACCCGGCTGCAGAGCTGCAAGTGACGTGGGCCATCAGGGCGCAGGTGGACGGATGCTGTGACTGTCCGTGCCCCCTCCCCCTCCTGAGCAGAACTCTGAAGGCCCTCTGGGCATCTGCCATGAGGCTGGGTAAGACCCCGTGCGTTGCTGGCTGTCCGGGAGCCGGCGCTGGGGAGGGGTGGCGGGGAGCCAAGGCAGGAGGGGTGATGGAGGCTGTTTCATTGGCGGCAAGGACCCTGGTCCCATTCTGTATCTTTCAATAAAGCCCTGCTCTGTGCACCCGCCCGTGTCTCAGGTTCTCTTACCGGCTGGGGATCCTCACCCCTGCCCGACCCCTGGATGGGGGTGGCTCAGGCATGCCCAGTGCCAGGCCCGTGCCAGGCCGGAGGTAGGTGTGCAGGCCAGGGGGGTATTTTTAGTTGGAAGCTAATTGCAGAAGGGCTCACACGCAGGGCTCGGCGCCAAGGAGCCTTGCCACGTTCCAGGAGGCTCTGTGCCTGCGGCTCCTCTTTCCTTCTGAGGAGAAGCTCGCTCCCGGGCACGCCCAGCAGGGCGAGGGCCACCGAGCTGGCACGCCCGGCAGCGTGGTTACCACGGATTCATCACCTGTGCAAGGCCCTTTTCACAGCTTCTTCCCATTCCTTCTAGCAACCCTGCTAGATAGGCATCCCCATTTTACAGATAAAGAAACTGAGGCCTAAGGTCACGCAAAGGAGGGATTCAACCCCAGATCTGATGATCCCAAAGCCCAAGCATCGTCTCTCTCTTTTTTTAAAAAAAATGTTTTTTTTTTAATTGATTTTAGAGAGGGAGGAAGGGAGAGGGCTAAAAATATTGATGTGAGAGTGTTGGGGAGGGGAGGTGGTGGTGGTGGTCCCCGATGCTGCTTCCTGTATGCCCCCTACTGGGGATCGAGCCCAAATCGAACCTGTGACCTCCTGGTTCATGGGCTGATGCTCCACCACTGAGCCACACTGGCTGGGCCATGCACTCTCTCTGACACCAGGTGACGTGAGGACAGGCACATGCTTAGGCGCATGAGGGGAGAGTGGACCTACAGACCAGGACAGGCCTGAGCTTCCCTGGGATGGGCAAGTCTGCCCTCCAGCTCCTCCCTCCTTCTCGCACCAGCACCTCTGAGGGAGCAGGTAGACTACCTGAGCCTGCCCAGGTGGCCCCTGCTGGCCGGGGTGGGGAGCCCCAGGAAACAGAGACAGACAGACCTGGGTCTGAAACCAGGAAGAGATATCTGAGATCCTTCTAGCTCAGTTTTCCCTCCTCTCCCTCTCCCACCACTCCTTAGCCGTGTGGTCTAAGGGCTGTGGATTCAGCTCTCCAACCTTCCTTCCGAGCACTTATAAAATGGGAATATTAGAAATAACCTCGGAGAATCAGGGTGCTAGCACGGTGCCTGGCACATAGTAACTGCTCAGTGAGTGGCGGCCATTGCTGTTACTCTGGGCGGCACACGCAGCCCCCTCAGGTCTGGGCTGGGCCGGGCATGCAGAGGGGGAAGTGGGGACAGGGCACTGTCACACTGTCCATGGTCAAAGGCCGTCTCCTTGCCACAGAGTTGGTCCCAATTGGCCCCTCCCTAGGCTTCCACCTCCAGGAGCCCCAGAGCTCTGTCCTTCCTTCCCTGGCGGGCAGCTGGTGCAGAGGGAGGAGCCTGCGGGGTGGGGGGTGGGGGAGGTGGTCCCTGGCATTCCGGGCAGGGCCGGTCTGTGTCTTCTCTGGGCCCTGGCTTTCCCATATGCGAAGAGGGAGGATTCTTGGGTTCCCACCCAGTCTGCCCTCCCAGGGTTTCAAAGCCTCGGCTGTAGGGCTTGCTGTGTTGGGGACTCCAGGGGTGGGAGGGCGTCATGCTGGAGGGGGCCGAGCAGGGGGGCCTTGGGAGAGTCAGGGCCACCCTTGTGGGGTGCAAGTCCCGTGCCCCCCCCCCCCCCCCATGTTTCTCCAGGGAGATGCTGGGTCAGGGGACCGTGGAGGGCAGAGGAAGGAGTGGGGGAGGAGAGGGTCCGGGAAGAGGGGCCTGTTTCCCGGGCTCAGTGGGGCCTGCTGAGTGGGTGCGTTGCCTCTCTTTGTCCCCCTGCCCCAGAGCCCTAGGGAAGCCTGAGCCGGCCTGGCCTGCGGGCTCTGAGCCGGGAGGGGAGGGGAGGGAAGAGGCGGGGGCAGGGGCAGCTGGAGAGAGGCCAGGGGGCGCCTTCCCTGCTGTTCGCCGGGGGTGGCGGGGGAGGGGGTTGGTCGGGAGGTGTCTTTGCAGCCACAGAGCATCTCGGAGCCGTTTCCTCCGCTGGAAGGAGCCGAGCCGGGAGCGTGGAGGTTTGCTGCGTGTCCTTCGTGCATGAGGGTCGCTCAGGGTCCAGGTCCCAGAGGGGCCCGGGGTGTCTTTAAGGAAAGAGGGGAGGGAAGCACGATCTTCGGACCAGACGCTCAGGCCATGGAGTCAGGGCCCAGCCTGGCAGCTTCGGAGGCGTCTGGAGGTACCGCCTCCAGCGAGGAGGTGACACACCAGAACACGGGGAACTGTGACCTGGGACTATTCCACACACCCCCGACCCCCCGAGGACACGGGAGCGGCAGGCGGACCCAGCACCTGCCCGGGCGATGGTGGTGGGTGAGCACCCGCTTTACAGGGCCCCGCTCCTGGGGGAGGCGGGCACAGGACTGGTTCCAGGCAGAGGCCCTGCCTCCCCCCAGCCCTGGCTTCGAAGGAGCTGCTGGTCCTAACCCCCCCCCCCCCGCCCCCCACACACACACACAGGAGGGTAATTCAGTGCCTCCCCAGCCCCTGACACCTCCCTGGGTGACGAGGGACGGTGCACCCAGAGGCCTCCCCCTTTCCGCCTGTGAGGACAGCTCCGTGCACTGCCCACGGGACTCCAGTGGCAGCAGATTTGAAAGGGGGTTTCAGCGCCACCCCCCCCCCCCCCCCCCCCGCCAATGCTTTTCTCCACTTGTGGAGGCCGAGGCGTGGCTACAGGTTTGCGTGGGTTTCCAATATGGGTTCCCAACGTTGCCGACAGAAGCAGGAGGTGGGAGCCGTGGCTCTGCGGCTATTGTCTCCGGCCAGCCGGGGCCAGGCTGCTGGGTGGGCGCCTTTATTGCCCTCGCCGGCTGCCTCGGCTGCAGGTGAGCCCCTTGCATCCTGTCCCAGAGCCACCGTGAACTGCCTCTGGTCACACAGCCAGAGAGAGGTCAGCCGGTATGAGCTGGGAAACCTCTATCTCTTCCCCAACTTTGGCAGAGGACATGTGACCACCCCAATACGTTCAGACCCGACCCTTCCCAGCCACGGGTGTGCATCCCCTGCAGACCTGTAGCCTCCCTCCGCTACCCCCTCCGCTGCTCCCTCCTCTTGCTGTTCTCCAGGATCCCGGTTCCTTTCCGCCTCTCGCTCCCTCCTGCCACAGGCTGCGGCCCCCTCTGATGGACATGTCCTCCCTCCCCCGCTTCCTGAGCGTTTCTATGTCCTTCCTCCGGACCACCGCGCCTTTCCCGGGTCTCCCTGTCTGGGCCAGGTGCTGCTTACTGCACCGCGTGCTTCTCTTCTGACACTCATCACGTTTGCAAGTTTACCTTTATTCATCGGATTTTTATTTCTATAAATCACTTCTATCTCTCCCACTAGACTCCTTGAGGACAAGGTCTGGGTTTCTGCTTAACCTTGAACTCCCAGATCACAGCACCGTGCCCAGCACCTAGCGTGTACTTGATAAGTATATGCTGAATGAAAGGACATGTTAGCTTACTTACATCAACGACTCTCCCAGCCTACCCACTCTGCCACACGCTAAAAAAGTTGTTACTTCTTCTCTAGCTCCCCTGACTGCTCTCCGCAACAGACATAAACTTCCGCTTCTCCGCACGGCGGCTCTGGCCAGCGTCTCTGGACTTCACAGGACATACAAAGGGAGGTTAGGCGCTGCCCTCCCCCTTCCTGCCCACTCGCTGGCCCCCGGGCCTCGAGCCTCTGCATTGCCAGGCTTTGCCACATGGACACTCTGTTCTGCGACTATAATTGTTTCTGTGCTTTGACAGTTAGGCGGAGTCTAAACAAGTGTGAACCAATAACCGGTGTTTTAAATATCACGATTATATAACAGTTCTTCGCAGATGTAGGCAAGGAGAGGGACTCGATGCCACCGGTGAAGGGGCGGCCCGGACTGTCTGAAAAGCCCCGTGCTGAGATGCCCTCCCGTCCTCAGCAGGATTCTCCATGTCTCCACCAGGACTTGGGCTCTTCCTCCTGGAGCAGGGGTGGGCAAACTTTTTGACTCGAGGGCCACAATGGGTTCTTAAACTGGACCGGAGGGCCGGAACAAAAGCATGGATGGAGTGTTTGTGTGAACTAATATAAATTCAAAGTAAACATCATTACATAAAAGGGTACGGTCTTTTTTTTTTTTAGTTTTATTCATTTCAAACGGGCCGGATCTGGCCCGCGGGCCGTAGTTTGCCCACGGCTGTCCTGGAGGCATTCTTTCCGGAGCCTTCTAACTGCCCACGGGGTTTGCACCATTTGCTTTGAGGTCCAGGGCACGGCTGTCCTCCCGAGATTTTTTTCACACCGCACCCCTGGGTTTGGGGTCAAGTGTTTCAGTTTCTTGGCTACCGCCGTCCTCTTTCTTGGCGTCCGTTTTTGTTCTGCTGCGGGTATAGCCTTGGGTCTCTCTCTCAGGATAGGTCGAGAGGACTCACCGCCGAGTCGTGTGCCCGCCTGAACGTGTCCTCCCTTTGCCCTGGCACCAGGCTGACAGCGGGCCGGGTGAGACTCCGTGCGACTTCGGCCGAAGCCAGTCTCCTGTTGGTTCTTTTGCGGGTCACTGGACTTTTCACTCTGGATTTCTGTGTGCCTTTGGAATTCTGAAACTCTTTCAGGACGTAAGATGTCACCTAGGAAGTATGCAGCTTTTTAAGCGTTGCCCGTTCAACACTTGGTAGTGACTTGAATTTGGAGACTCCGGTCTTTCTTCAGCTCAGAGAAATGTACTGTTATTAGTTTCCTGCATTTCTCCTGTGTTTCCCTCCAAGGACTCTTCCTAGGATCTGAGGAGCCGCGCTACTCCGTGTCAGTGATCACTCGGCTCTGTCTCCCCTCGCCTGCTGCCCTACTTTCCGAGGCTTTCTTGGCTTTTGTGCCTGTAGTATTGCTTTGGGCTTCCGCTCTGCTCATTTTATTCATCTAATTGCCTCCATTTTTTTTTTTTTTTGAATTCTGACTAAATTTCCAGGAAATCTTTCTTTTCTGGTTGCTCCTGTTCCGTACCAGCTCGCAGCCC